CCCACTCCTAAGACACAGTTTCAGCGGCCGCTTTAAGACAGCGAGCAGGCCCTGGCCGTGTGACTCCATTGGCTGGGCACTGTCCTGGGCACAGAAAGGTTGCTGGTTTGAGTCTCGGGGCAGGGCCAATGCCCCGGACAGTAGGGGGGTGCAGGAGGCGGCCCATCGATGCTGCACTCTCACATGGATGTGTCTCCCCCTCCTTCTCACTTGGATGTTTCTCTCTCCCTCTTCCTCTCTCTCTCAAAAAAAGATGTCAAGCAGAACAGTGCATGTGCAGAAATGTTAGCTGCAAACCTTACACTCATCCTCGATTGTCATGAAATCAGACCCACCCGGCTCTGTGAAGCTGCTTCCAAACGCTAACTGCTTGGCAGGAGGGGCGGGTGTTGGGGGAAATGTTAGAATCGCAGCCATGAGAGCAGATGCGTTGTGTCCCGGCAGTGCCCTTGTGGGGGGCGTGGAATTGGGGTGTTACTGTGCAGATGACTCCAGGAGGCAGCCCTTCCGAGCTGTTTGGCTTGGGAACAGTCCCTCACCCCCCCCCCTCCCCGACCCGTGCCTTAGGCAGGGCAGGTGCCAGGCCTCTCATCTCACGGGGCTGAAGAGCGAGATGAAGCGTGTGACTAAAATGCTAGCAGGGCGCCCTGCGGCGCGGCTCAGGGCTGGACTCCCAGTCAGGCCACGTGCCTGGGTTGCAGGCTGACCCCCAGAAGGGGGCGTGCAGGAGGCAGCCCATGGCTGACTCTCTCTCATCATTGATGTTTCTCTCTCTCTCCCCCTCTCCCTTCCTCTCTCTCTGAAATCAATAAGAACTTTTTTTTTTTAATGCTGGAGCGGGGCCTGGCACATACCACGCTCTCAGTAAATGCCATGTATGACGAGTGCTCTCTCTCCCGGTCGTTCGCTCCCTCTGCGATGGATCCCATCTCCGCTCACCTGCTGCCTTGCACCATGTGCCCGTGAGGAGGGTGCTCAGTGGGTCCGTGTAAACTCGTCACCACGACAGATGATTAAAACACGACAGCGGAAGGGACCATGACCCTGGTGGTGGTCATCGTGCCCCGGAGCCCCCAGGGAGGCGGGGACGGCGGGTCTGTGCTCAGTCACAGCCAGAACCCACGCCGAGGGCCACAGGTGTGTGTGAGCGGCCGGCGGCGGAGCCCGAGGTGGGCGGGCAGCGGCCGCCTGTGACAGAGCCCTTGCCATCCGGTCACGAGGGTGGTAGGCGGGGACCTGCTTCTCTGTTCTGTGACCCCGGGCTTGTGGAACAGGTTTGTGAAGACGGAGGTGCATGTGAGCTCTTGCTGAAATCAGGAGCAGCTGGTCGGACTGAGGAGGACGCGGGGTGACTGGGGGGCACCCCACCGTCCCGGATGCATGCATATGCTTTGCCTACCTGCTCACATCCTGAACTCGGTGACCCGTCCACATGCTGCTGCGTCTGGCTGCTCCTGAGTCACTCCTTCGGGGAATGTCTTGCTCCCCGTGGGGAGAGGACTCTTATCCGTAGGCATCAGCCTCGTCTCAGCAACGGGTCTGTAGCCGCCGCCCTGGCTGCTCTGTTCCGATGGTGCGCGGAGCTCTGCCCCGAGCGCTCTGGGTGGCCTGTCGCTGCCGGAACCCAGAGCCACTCTTTTCCTCTCGTTCCGTGACCTTGAAAGTCCAGCCGCGTCCTGGTCGGTTCTGGGTGTTCTTTTTAAAGCTCCGCGCTAGCGAAGGTGACCTCTGGCACAGCTCCGCCTGGTCTGACAGGAGGCACAACAGCCGGGCTTTGTGAGATAAGCAACTTCTGAAAACAAGGACCCTTATTCAGCATCAAGTTTTTCACAAGGAGGAAAAAACCACCACCTAAAGTTAAAAATAGGTCGCCCAAGCGTGCAGCCCACTCCCTCGGGTGCCCTCGGGGAGGTGGGAGGGCACGGACAGGCTTCCGGGGGATCGAAGCAGCTGCTTGTCGGCTAGAGGTTTTGGACGAGTTACAAACGGGACTTCACTCCCAGGGGCAAGTCTCTCCTCTGTTTGGAAACACACACACCCGTGCTTTATGTGCAACAGGGATGGCATTTGGTCAGCGTGAGGTTAAAATCCCTTTGTCTGAGCTTGTGGCTCTAACCCAGGGGTGGGCAAACTTTTTGACTCGAGGGCCACAGTGGGTTCTTAAACTGGACCGGAGGGCCGGAACAAAAGCATGGATGGAGTGTTTTTGTGAACTAATATAAATTCAAAGTAAACATCATTACATAAAAGGGTACGGTCCTTTTTTTTCCCAATAGTTTTATTCATTTCAAACAGGCCAGATCTGGCCCCCGGGCCGTAGTTTGCCCACGGCTGCCTAACCTCTTGAGCAGAGAAAAGCCCAGAATGAGCTGTGTGGTGCGTTTCAGAAGGAAGAGATGCATTTGACCAAGGGGACAGTTCTGGCCCCACAAAGGAGGGAGCGGCTCCGTGCTGCCCCCTGTCCGGCCGCTGCGGAAACACAGGGCACATTTTGCTTGTGTGCCAAGAAAATCTTCCCCAGGAAACGTCTCCGATCACCTCCCTGGGAATAATCTGGCTGCATGTTCAACACAGAGACTTCTCCCAACAGAGGGGCAAGAGGAACACGATAAGCTAAGCAACGGAGCAGAACACGGAATATGTGAGAGCTCCTGGGTAGGTGCTGAACGTCTGTATGCCCTGCCCCGCCCCCAAATCCATACGTGAAGCCCTAGTGCCCAGTGTGGCGGTATTTAACGTGGGGCCTTGAGAGGGACTTAGGTCAGGGGTGCAGCCCTCATAAAGGGGATTAGTGCCCTTATAACAGAAACGCTTTTCTGCACTCATTGAGATGGTCATGTGATTTGTATCCTCACCTGTGTTAACGCGGTTATCTGTGCAGTTGAACCATCCTTGCATCCCAGGGCTCCATCCCACTTGGTGAATGATCCTTGGACCCTGCTGTTGAATTTGGTTGGCGAGTGTTTTGTTGAGGATTTCTGCTGGCACCTTGTTCTTAAACGTCCCAGCCTCCAGAACTGTGAGAAATAAACGTGATCTAGTGCCAACCAGTGAGTAGAAGAGCATGTCAGCTGGGGAAATAGTTTCTTCCCTGATAAGTGCCGAAGCTGCAGGAGACCCTGGTTCTGGACTTCCAGCCCAACATGCTTCATATCGGTGCCACCCCCCACCCCCAATGAAGTGTGTGAACAGCAGAGTTTGTCCTGGAGGAACCTGGCTGCAATTTCTCTATCCAGACCCGAGGCTGTGGGCTTGAAGCTTCATTTGACAGCAAGTACCATATTTTTCTGTGTATAAGATGCCCCATGTATAGGATGCTCCCCACTTTTCCAACCCAAAACTAAGAAATCAATATCTTACACATTTTGCTGGTTTTCCTCTTAGGGCCCTCTTCTTTATCGGCATCTTAAGGAGCTGTTCTTCCCGTTTTCTCCACTGTCTGATCACACACCAAATCGTCTCTCTGCAGCTCTGTGGCCATGCTCTCTGCACAGCTGATTACATTCAGTTTGAATTTTGCAGAGTAAGACAACCGCTTACTGGTATTTATCTTTTTATTTTTTGACGTCTTTATGGGCTCAGAACGCTCTGGTTTCTGTTGCATCTGTGCTCTCTCCACCTCCACCTCCAATCACGGCATCAGCTGACGTCAGTGACAATAAGGCGCGTGATTGGAGGAAGCCTGTTTGACAAGGTGTGGGCAGCCGACTCCCTCCTCGGCTGACTTCTTTGTATATAAGGCTCCCCTCAATTTTCAGTCTCATGATTTTAGAAAAAAAATAGTGTCTTATACACAGAAAAATACAGTATACCATCTGCAATTCGGGGGGGGGGGGCAGCATGAAGGGAGGACCCTGGAGGAACCCAGGGCCAGTGGCCACAGGGTTTTGCTGGCATCTGAGCCTGCTCTTGCCTCTCCCGGCAGGAAAGGGCAGTTCCTCCTCTCAGCCTCCCCACCTCCAGCTCACTTACCTGCAGACTGAGTACATGTCAGTTTCCAATAAACAACATTTTGGTATTTGTTGGTCCATTTGTCAAAGGTCATTGCATGTTCTATTTCCAATAACATCACATTCTCCAACGAAACCTATTTCTGGGATGTATAAATTAATCACAGCTGTATGTGCTTGTTAAAGTTTCAGAGACTTTATTTCTGTGGGATCTTCAAATAAAAGTGTTCCTGAAACTGTGAGGTTACATGATCCCAACATTTCCCCATATTTCTGTCAAGTATTTAGGGATCTGTAAAGAAATGCATGTACCATTTGAAGAAATTCTGACTTTTTATAGAAAAGCAGGACTTGGTTGCAATGTTGACAGTCCTCGGTCTCTGCTTTAGACATGCGGCTTTGAATCAATTCTATCGAAAGAGCCACATGTGCCACTGCTTTGGGTGTTCGTTGTGCAGACCTCCTGTCTCAAGCTTCCCCAGGCCCGTGCACCAAGGCGTGGTCTCTGGGCTCTCTTGCCCCCTGCTGGCTAAGCTGAGACCTTCCTAGGAAACAGGTCACCAGTGGACGCCCTGTCCCGTTCTACTCATTTTCAGGGCCATTTGGCAAAAGCCTCCTTCACAATCGAAGGGGTTCGGAACAGGCCTCCCCAAGACGGGCCACCTTGGTGTACAAATGATTCCGAGCTGAAGGCAACTGGGACTCTGCAGACCCCTCCCTTCAAAGAGTTTAAATCCGGGGCTTTGCCCATTAGAGCTATCGCCAGAAACACCTCTTTATCACCTCTCTCTAGGGCAGGGCAAACACCCAATTACTGAGCAGTCTGCTCTTCCATCATTCTGAGAGGGATTCCCCCCCCCCCGACCCCCTGCAGCCCCGAGGGGTCTTACCTCATCCTCAGCTCGGAAGGCCATAGGTACCTCATCTTCCTTTTGTGTCTCTGAACCTCTCATGCGTGCGGTCTCTGACTCTCTCGTGTGTGGGGCTCCCATCTGCACATCAGTAATTGAATCTGGTTGTTTTCTCTTGTTCCTCTGCCTCAGATGGAAGTGGTTGTGGGATCAGCTCTGTCTCAGGTGGAGGTGGTTGTGGGACCAGAAGGTTCTGTCTCAGGTGGAGGCGGTTGTGGGACCAGAAGGTTCTGTCTCAGGTGGAGGTGGTTGTGGGATCAGCTCTGTCTCAGGTGGAGGTGGTTGTGAGGCCAGCGGGAGACCCTCAAGGGTAAAGTTTCTCCCTTCCCCCACCACCTTTCTGCCCCAGGTAACCATCTAGCTTTAGACCCTGCTTCTCATCAATGTTCCGTGACCTGGTGACCGGCTCCTGGGGCCGGGCCTGTCTCACACATCCCCTGTGTTCACCCCCCACCCATTGCCAGCACCTCCTCACACTCTGTTCTGACCGTGTCTCCGCTGCGGACTTCAGTAGATGTGTCGGCCGGTACATGCAAGGTGGTTTGGTAAGTGCCTTCTGCCTGGGTTATTGCTTGGTGTTTGCCTTGCTTGCCCTTGTTGTCCATTCTGTGGGCCTCCAACCCCATGGACGGGGGCCAGCGGAGGCCTCAGCATGGAGTCCAGCCCTCGCACCCCCCTAGACCTTCACAGCAGATGAGGGGCCTCGTCTGGCTGGGACCCCACTTTCCCAGGCCCCCGCCGTTCCCCTTGCAGTGGCCACGATGGAGCACACGCCCTGGGTACCGTCAGCCCCACCCTGGGGGCCGTGGAGGAGAGTGGACCAGCTCCCCCTCTTAGCCCGTGTCCCCTGCTCCTGCTGCTGAGACCCCGCGTGCTCTCCTCTCGTCCGTGTAGTTCCCCGCGTCTGAGGTCGGCTCGGGACCAACTGCGCTCTCAGATTTCCACGCTCCCTTTTCCATCTCAAGTGAGATCAGTGTGATTGTCTCCGAGCTATTTTGAAGGTACGAACTTCTCTCTCCCTCTTTAATTTTTTTCAAATAATTGATGAGTTTATATTATTTTTTTAAACATTTTTTTATTGATTTCAGAGAGGAAGGGAGAGGGAGAGATAGATAGAAACATCAATGATGAGAGAGAATCACTGACCGGCCGCCTCCTGCACGCCCCCTACTGGGGATCGAGCCTGCAACCCAGGCCTGTGCCCTGACCGTTAATCGAATCTGAGCCCCTGGTTCATAGGTCAACAAGGCTCCGCCCCTGAGCCACACCAGCCGGCCGGCTCTCCATTAATTTGTACTTTTCCCAGAGGGAGGGCCGGGCCTAGGTTAGGACTGAGGCAGCGGACGCTCTGTCTCATGGGGAACTGCAGACGTTCTCTCCGGGCCTTGGTTCTGTGTTGTTTCTACACGAGGCCGAGACGAGGTCACTGGCTGGCTGGGAGGAGAGAGGGTGCAGTGGCGCTTCGCAGGGTGGGGCTGGGCTGGGGCTGGGGCTGGGGCTGGGGCTGGGGCTGGGGCTGGGGCTGGGGCTGGGCTGGGGCTGGGGCGGGCTGGGGAAGGGGCTGGGCCGGGCCGGGCTGGGGCTGGGGCTCGGGCAGGGGCTGGGGCTGGGCTGGGGCCGGGCCGGGGCTGTACCAGGCCAGGTGGTGTGACCCCCCGCAGCAGGAGTGACAGCGCGGTGTGGGGTGATAAATTTAAAAACCAGTCCGCGTGGCCAGGGCTTCTCTCCACCCCGTTCAGCTGCATCCTGTTGTGGTTTCTCCCAACGACACAAAGAAAAACCACAAGCAGCCAGCCCCGGGCAGCCCCGGGGAACCTGACACACGGGAGGACGTGTGTCCTCGGCCCTCAGCTCAGCCACGGGAGGCCCCTCCTCCCCTGCCCCTCAAGGTGATGGGCACGTTTACTGCCATCACAGGAGGCCTGGCCGTTTCTTATTTATTTTTCGGGAGCCAGCAGAGTGGATTCTAAAGTGCATAAGGAAAGTGAACGCGCAAAAGTGAATAAAGAAGTAGACATTTAAAGAATGTAAAATGGCCCTCACACACCTGAGAAGGCACTCGCTGCTGCTTAGACTAAGAGAGAAGTGAACTAGCAAGTATTTCAAAGTCTGATTGCTCATCCATCCAATGGGGAATATCTTCTGTTGGGGAGGCATGGACCACCCTAAGTGTGGGCGAGCAGAGCGGGCAGCCTCTAGGGGGCGTACTTTGGAATCCTATATAATAAATCCTATATAATAAAAGGCTAATATGCAAATTGTCCCCTCGACCGGGAGTTCAACCAGGGGGTGAGGCCGGCCCACCAACCGCCCACGGCCCCTCCCCCCTGGCCGGCCTAGCCTGATCTAGTTAACTAATAAAGTAACCTTTCATGCACCTGTTGACTTAGCGATTCTACGCGTAAGAATCTCTTGAAAATCAAAACATTGTACAGTATTTATTGTGATATTATTTGTAAGAGCAAAAGTTTATAAACAATCCAAATAGTCATCAACGGGGACTTATATAAAAGAGAACACAGAGCAGTTGTTTAAAAAAATAAAGGAAAAGAGGAACTCGCTAAAAATAAGACTCAAACCAAAGGTTGGGTAGAGAGACAGACAAACGATACGCATAGAGCACTCACGCTCTCTCTCTCTCGCTCTCTCTGCCTCCCCATCTATCCCTGTTTCTTTCTAGCACACTTACATGGCAAGCAGTGGTATTTTGGATTCATGGAAGAGTAAATCTCTCTTTAAGGGTGGCTGTGCACAGATGAAATTTCAGTAGGTCGGATTTAGCAATAAACTGGACAGACCTGACTCAAACTAACAATAGCGTCGACCAGGCCCAGTAGGTGTGGCTCAGTGTTTGAGCATCAACCTACAAACCAGGAGGTCAGGGTTTGATTTCTGGTCAGGGCACATGTCTGGGTTGTGGCTCGATCCCCAGTGTGGGGCGTGCAGGAGGCAGCCAATCCATGATTCTCTCTCTTCATTGATGTTTCTCTCTCTCCTCTCCCTTCCGCTCTGAAATCAACCCATATATATAAAAGCCTAAGCAACTGTTAAGACCAAACCACCAGAATGACCGGTACACTAGTCACTATGATGCGCACTGACCAACAGGGGACAGACGGTTAACGCAGGAGCTTCCCCCTGGTGGTCAGTGCACTCCTACAGCCAACCTCCCACGGCTCCTCCCCCCAAGCCCCTCCCCTCAGTTGGCCGGACCCCCATGGCCCCCGATCAGGGGTGCTGGCTGGCCAACCTCCTGTGGCCCCTCCCTCCCCCAGGCTGGCCGGCCCTCTGATAGGCCTCGATTGCCAGCCAGGCCAAGGGACCCCACCTGTGCATGAATTCGTGCACTGGGCCTCTAGTAAAAACATATTTTAAAAAAATAGCACTGAGCCTGTGTCATTCCTCTCTCATTTCATTTCTCCATAAAATCCACTACCAGGCTTCAGCTTGGAAACCACTTTTTTAAAAATTTTATTTATTGATTTTAGAGGCAGGGGGAGGGAGAGAGGGAGAGAGAAACATCAGTTTCTTGTTCCACTTATTTATGCCTTCATTGGTTGATTCCTGTATGTGCCCTGACCAGGATTGAACCCTTAATCTTGGTGAATCAGGATGATGCTTGACTGAGTCACCTGGCGAGGGCCTGGGAGTGACACGTGGATTTCAACCTTTGCTCAGACTAGTGACGAACTCCCCTTCGTGGGACCCAGTGCCCACTTCGGCAGCACCTATCTTCCAAGCTGTTGGAAATGCTCGCTCACAGGCATGCACACCTGTAGCCAGCTCTTCGCTGAAGGGCGCCCTTGATAAACATAACATCACTGTGCCTGCGGGAAATGTAGGAAAACATGGCTGGTGGTCATGCCCATGCCGTGAGGTGGCAAGATCACTGGGCTTTTTATCTCGGTGACTAGACGCACCTGGGCTTTCCCTGTCTTGTAAAATGATGGCTCAGTACTTTTAGTATCAGGAAACAATGGTCCCTTCTCCTTCCAGGTCTCCGCCTGTTTCTGCAAAACAACTCCCAACAGAAGTCACACTAAATAGAGGAAGTTGTGTCCATTCGTTCCATTCACCACCAGGAGAATGAATGTGAACACAGACCGGCCTGAAAAAAACCCGCAAGCGAATATGGGAAGAAGGAAAAGTGCGGACTTGCTCTTATCACAAAGCTGACGTCAGGCTTCAGCACCTGGCGAGCAGGTGGCAAGTCCCTTAAATTGTTGGCCAAGAAGAGCCGGCCGGAGGTGGGGGCGGGTCCCAGAGCGCCCTGCCCGCGGGACCCCAGGGAGCAGAGCATCTGCTATCACAGGCCCGCTCCCGGGGGAGGCCCCTCCTCTGCGGCCCTGCGGGAGGGTTGCATGTGCGAGGGGCACCGAGGCGGGCAGCTCTCGCCCCTGCAGCCCGGTCAGCGTGGAGGATGCCCGCCAGGGCAAGGGGGGCTTGCAACGCCGGCGGTGAAGGGAGCAATCGAGATTGGAGCCCAGAGGGAAGGAAGTGGAGAGGGGTGGCTGCCGGCAGACCTGCAGCCTGGCCACCTGCTGTCGCTGCCGGGGCTGCGGTCAGGGTGGCAGAGGAAGGGAGCCCGGGAAGGCTTTTCTGACCGCGGGCATTTCACAACCAAGACACAGGAAGCGGATTACAGGGCCCGTGGGGCTGCAGCGGTGTGTGCACCCCACCTCCGGCCTTGTTGCCAAGACAGGCGCCCAGGAAGCCAAGATGGTGACAGGCGTCCCCGAGGCTTCGCCCACAGAGTGCCACCTGCTCCCTAAGTCACACGCAGAGCCCTGTCCCTAGGTCACACACACAGCCCTGTCCCTAGGTCACACACACAGCCCTGTCCCTAGGTCACACGCACAGCCCTGTCCCTAGGTCACACGCACAGCCCTGTCCCTAGGTCACACGCACAGCCCTGTCCCTAGGTCACACGCACAGCCCTGTCCCTAGGTCACACACACAGCCCTGTCCCTAGGCCCCACGCAGAGCCCTGGGGGAAAGCTGGGTGAGCCTTCGTCCCGCAGCGCAGAGCAGGTCGGCAGGTCCCCGGCGGACTGTTCCCATGGGGACGACTGTAACAGCGAGTAGATGGAGGCCCTGGGACCACGGGTCCGAGTGCTTGAGCTCCATTGATCTGGAAAACATGCCCGGCTGGTTGAGCGTCGACCTATGAACCAGGAGGTCAGGGTTCGATTCTGGTCATGGGCACAGGCCCAGGTTGTGGGCCTGATCCCCCGTGTGGGGCCTGCAGGAGGCAGCTGATCAATGACTCTCTCTCATTGTTGATGTTTCTCTCTCCCTCTCCCTCTCCCTCCCTCTCTGGAATCAATAAAAACATGTTTAAAAAAGAAATGCACCCAAGTGTTTGCTGCACTGCACCCATGTCCTGCCCTCTCCCCTGGCTCCCTCCTGGCGTCACTCAGCTGAGAGGAGGACCCGGGCGCTGTGCCAGGGGGACGGGAGCACCTGCGCCTGCTCGGGGCCTGGTTCGCAGGGGGCGCCCAGGGGGGGGAAGAGTGCGGCTCAGGAGTCCAGGCCGGGGCTGGTGCCCAGAGGGGAAACGGCCAGTCGGGTCAGTGGCGAGGGACGAGGGCGTGAATAGGCGCCAGAGAGGTCGGCTGCTGGTGGGTCAGGAGCCGGGGTGGACGGGATGGACCCGCTGGGCCTGCTCTGCTGGAGGCCTGCCCGCGAGGACTTCAGTCCCCACCCTCGGCGGGGCCAGGGGCAGGGTGACTCAGCACTTCCTCTTAGTGACTAAGGCCAACCCGAGCCCCAGCCAGCAGGGCTGCGGCTGCTCAGGCAGGCTGGCCTCCTGGCCCCTGGCTCATTGTACGTGGTACAAGGGATGTACAGTCGCCCAGGATTAATGGTCTTTCCTTTCTTTTTTAAACTTGGGCCAACAGCCTGAACCGGGCCGGCTCTGGGCTGGCGCCAGCTACTCATCTGCTCTTCTCATCAGTGACCTTCACTGGCCATCGATCACTAGGCGCTGACTCGTGCGAAGAACTTCCTGGGACTTTCTCAGAAGCAGCCACGAGGTAGGTGCCTTCGCCGAGTGTAGGTGAGAAAACAGAGAGAGACGGTGATGAATGACTGAAGGACAGAGACTCTAAAGGCTTTTTTTTTTTTAATATATATTTTTATTGATTTCAGAGAGGAAGGGAGAGGGAGAGAGAGAGATGGAAACATCAATGATGAGAGAGAATCATTGATCGGCTGCCTCCTGCACACCCCCTGCTGGGGGTCGAGCCCGCAACCCAGGCATGTGCCCTTGACTGGAATCGAACCCAGGACCTGTTGGTCTGCAGGCCGATGCTCTATCCACTGAGCCAAACCAGGTAGGGCGACTCAAGGTTTTTGATGTGAGCGTCCGCCCTTGACCTGTCCCCGCTGCCCGGAGGTTAGGAGCCGCTCACTGAGCTTCAGCAAACACTGGACGGTGACCCTGAGCAGGGAGATGACAAGCACACGGGGCCAAGGCAGTCATTCACTGCGAAGCTTCCCCTTCGGCCCTTCCGTGCACGGGCCCATGCAACGCCCGGGGAGGGGCCCTCGCAGTCTTGTCTTCCATCGGCCTTCTTTACCTTAAAGAGGACCCGCACCCTCTCCACGCTTAGACACACACACCGGGACCCACCCCGCCCAGCCCCTTTGACCCACCCCTCTTCTTCACGGAAGTTCCGCATCCCTGGGCCTCCGAGGCCCATCAGAGCTGCTCAGGTGTGTGACCGGTGAACCTTCTCGTCGACTACTGGTCCTCTTGCTCTGCTCTTTTCTGTTTAAATCCTCACCCGAGGATACTTTCCCGTTGATTTTAGAGAGAGTGGAGGGGAGCAGGAAAGACAGAGGGACACATGATGTGAGAGAAGCACATCGATTGGTTGCCTCATGCATGCGCCCCAACCAGGCCCCGGGCCAGGGAGGCGCCTGCAACCAAGGTACGTGCCCTTGACCAAAATCGAACCCAGGACTTTTCGGTCCGCAGGCCGACACTCTATCCGCTGAGCCACACTGGCCAGGGCTTGCTTTGCCTTTATACCCACTGAGGCCCTTCTGCCTCGACCCCCAGCTCGTCTCATCCTGACCATGCCGTGGCGACGGGTGTCTGGGCGTCCTGTGCCGACAGAGCCCCTGGCATCAGCAGGTGTCGCTGTGGCCACGCGCACATCCCGCATCCGACACTGACCGCTCCCGTCCTGCTGGGCACTGATGAGCCGGGCACGTGGCCCGCTGGCCTGCTCCTTCGGGCTCTGCGCCTCTGGACACTGGTCACTCAGGAGGTCCGGCTCCTGGGATCGGCCACGCCGTTCCTGCGGCTGCAGAGCTGCCCTGGGCCGCGCTCCCCCGGGAGGGGCGTCTGCATTGTCCCCGCTGCTCTGCCTCCTGATAAATGCCTTCGGAGCAGCTGCGGCTCCAAGTGTGAAAAATCCAACTTCACCTCCTCCGCCTCCCTCCACAGTGTCCCCTCTGCTAACACGGGCTTCTCTGTCAGCGTGTCGTCTGCGTCTCACAGACAGGGCCGCCCGTCTCCCTCTTCCTTGGGGACAAGGCAGCGCTGCCTCTGAGCGCACCGTGGCCCCCGCGACACAAAAGGCAGCTTGGTCGCATCCCAGCCGCCGTCCTGCGTGTCTTGTAAGATGGTAACTTAGGGGAAAGCTGTCCGAGAAATCAATACAGCCCGGCCGCGTGGCTCAGTGATCAGCGTCCACCTACGAACCAGGAGGTCACAGTTTGACTCCCGGTCAGGGCACAGGCCCGGGTTTCGGGCTTGGTCCCCAGTGGGGGTCATGCAGGAGGCAGCCGATGGATGATTCTCTCTTATCATTGATGTTTCTGTCTCTCTCTCCCTCTCCCTTCCTCTCTGAAATCAATAAAAAAAATTTTAAAAATTCTTAAATCAAATATAGAATGTCACCATGAGGAGATAGTTCTGGGCCATAGCACACGGTGCTGGATGCTGGATTCCAGACCGGGTCTTCCTCATCACCCTTCTTGTCACTGTCTTTGAACTTCTCAGTGTGAGGCAACAGAATCCCAGCCGAGGGCTCAGCCAACAGCCCTGCTCCCTGGGGCCAGCAGCATTCAGTGCTGCGGGGTGGGGGGTGGGAGGTGCGTCCCGTCCAGAGAGCAGGACGGTCCCTGTGTGGGAGCTTCAGGCACGGTCACCAGCTGCCAGGGTGCGGTGAGGTGGGAGCCTCCACCCTGGGCGTGCCCGCCCACACCCATCCTCATGTCTGCGTGGGCCTCCCTCCACCTTGTAGTCATGGGAGGGTGTGTCGGGCAGTGGGGGGGCCTGGGGGGACCCTGTCCCCATCGTCACCTGTGTTTCTGGGCTGGGTGGGCAGGTGACCAAGGTCAGAGGCTGCCTCCCCTGACTGCCCGGCGGGCGCAGAAGGTGACAGTTGAAAAGGAGGTATTGGAACAGACAGGCCGGGCGGCCGCGTCCTGCTGCGCGTGGAGGCCTCTCTAAATCCCCTTTCCCAGGAAACTCCGGTCACGGGCCCTCAGGTGCCTAGGAAGGAGGCGTCACCCCTGGCCCTGCCGTGGGCGTCCTTGTTGGTAAATATTTGTCTGCGTCGGCCATCGCGGCCTGGGTGCTCGGTAGATGTTTACTGAGCCGGCAGCAGTGCTGGGGGCAGAGCCAGCGTTAGAGGCGGCGTCACCGGGCGGCCTCGGAGCCAGTCCCGGGCGGGCTCCTCCTGACGTTACCGTAAGCCCCCGGCGCGGGCCCTGGCGGTTCTTACATCCTCCTTTTCATACGCGTTTATTCTGGGAATCAAAGCCAGGACGGGGCCTGGGCTGTTCGACGCCCCACGCTCTGCCTGCCCCAGCCCCTGGTTGACTTTTCGGGCCAGATGTCATCTTTGAGAACTATTTCAGCGGAGGGCTTGCTGAGAGGAGACCCTGGGGTCTTCACGCCGAGCACGTGGAATCGGCTGCGGGTCGAGGGGGTCCCCGAGTTGAAAATGCACATGATCTGCTGGCAGCCACAGGCATGACGCCATCAGCCATGTGAACCAGAGGTGACGTCACAGAGAATGTACCTCGCCGGTCAGTGCAGAGACTGCTCTCTCTAAAGCTGCAGTGGCCTCATCACCACGGACATGCAGACCGGGATGTGCCGTCACTGTCGGACGTTTACCTGACCCTTTACCAATGCTTCTCTCTGAAGGTGTCATCTGGCGGCTGGTGGCGTGGAGCATGTCTCCGTAGGCGTTCGCTGTGTAAAAGGGATGGAGTGTGTGCTCACAGGGACCCCGCTTACTCATGAGTGACAGCGAGGGCAGGAACGCAGGGCGGTCCCGGGCACATGCGAGTGTGCTCCGCCCGGGGCAGCGCTTGCCCCAGCGCCCAGGGCAGCGGATGAATGATCTGTCCGGAGTGACGGTCACAGCAGGCATCCGAGGGGGCGCAGGCGATCCTACATACTTGCTGAGATTCCTCACCGCAGGGACGTGCTGAGGGAGTCATCAGCATCTGAACTGAACGAGGCGGAGCATCTGAGGGCTGCATCCTGGAGTCAGTGCCCTGAGGCCCAGGGAGAGGGTTCCGTGGGGCGCCGATGGGTGGGGGGACCTGCTCTGGCCCTGAGCCTGAAAATGTAGCCGCATCCCCATCCTGTATTGTGCTATCACATCCACAGACCACTGTGGGGAGCGTGCCTGTTCCTAGCCTGGGGGGGCACCTGTAAGGGGTCAGGAGACGGTCCAGGAAAGGGCACCTGCATCAGAAGTGACCAGGGTGGAGGAGAGGCCTGAAGACACTCCTGTGGGGGAAAGGGTCATTTGGGGAGCTGCGCCTCATCTTGCTGGGCCTGCTTAGGGGCAGATGAAGCCAACGGGTGGGTCAAAGCCAGATTCCGGAGGCCCGGGAAGCCAGGCTACAGCGTGTGGGTTTATTCGGGCAGTCAGGAGCCCGTCAAGGGTACAAGCAGGCAGTCACGTGGTCATCCGGTCCACAGGCATCACGGGATGTCCACTAGGTTTCAGGCCAGTGGCAGATGCTGAGCTGGGAGGACGAACTTGACACAAAGAACTCAAAGTCCAGTAAAGGAAAATCCAAACCAGTGAGTCAACGGGATGATGATGATGGTGATGATGGTGATGACAGCTTACACTGATGAAGCCTCGTGTGCAAGGGTGTGCATCCTAAGAACCAGAAGAGAAGACAAAGGCGAAGTCGTTTCAATGATGCATAAATGGAAACAATTTGAGATCCCTCCTTCGCACAAAAGACTAGGCTGTGGGAAT